TGTTCAAATCACGTCGGGGTCAATCATTCTCTTCTTTAATACAATTCAGGAATCCTTGTTGCTAGACCCTACAACTAGCTCAGCAATTTGACTGATTTGCGGGGCCTCGTGGCGCAACAGATTCAGAGCCTCTAGGCCTTCGTGGCGCAACGGTAGCGCGTCTGACTCCAGATCAGAAGGCTGCGTGTTCAAATCACGTCGGGGTCAATCATTCTCTTCTTTGAGCACAAGTCTTTAATACAATTCAGGAATCCTTGTTGCTAGACCCTACAACTAGCTCAGCAATTTGATTGGTTTTCAGGGCCTCGTGGCGCAACGGTAGCGCGTCTGACTCCAGATCAGAAGGTTGCGTGTTCAAATCACGTCGGGGTCAATCATTCTCTTATTTAATACAATTCAGGAATCCTTGTTGCTAGACCCTACAACTAGCTCAGCAATTTGATTGGTTTTCAGGGCCTCGTGGCGCAACGGTAGCGCGTCTGACTCCAGATCAGAAGGCTGCGTGTTCAAATCACGTCGGGGTCAATCATTCTCTTATTTAATACAATTCAGAAATCCTTGTTGCTAGACCCTACAACTAGCTCAGCAATTTGATTGATTTGCAGGGCCTCGTGGCGCAACGGTAGCGCGTCTGACACCTGATCAGAAGGCTGCGTGTTCAAATCACGTCGGGGTCAATCATTCTCTTCTTTAATACAATTCAGGAATCCTTGTTGCTAGACCCTATAACTAGCTCAGCAATTTGACTGATTTGCGGGGCCTCGTGGCGCAACGGTAGCGCGTCTGACTCCAGATCAGAAGGCTGCGTGTTCAAATCACGTCGGGATCAATCGTTTTCTTCTTTGAGCACAAGTCTTTAATACAATTCAGGAATCCTTGTTGCTAGACCCTACAACTAGCTCAGCAATTTGATTGGTTTTCAGGGCCTCGTGGCGCAACGGTAGCGCGTCTGACTCCAGATCAGAAGGTTGCGTGTTCAAATCACGTCGGGGTCAATCATTCTCTTATTTAATACAATTCAGGAATCCTTGTTGCTAGACCCTACAACTAGCTCAGCAATTTGATTGGTTTTCAGGGCCTCGTGGCGCAACGGTAGCGCGTCTGACTCCAGATCAGAAGGCTGCGTGTTCAAATCACGTCGGGGTCAATCATTCTCTTGTTTGAGCACAAGTCTTTAATACAATTCAGGAATCCTTGTTGCTAGACCCTACAACAAGCTCAGCAATTTGACTGATTTGTGGGGCCTCGTGGCGCAACGGTAGCGTGTCTGACTCCAGATCTGAAGGTTGCGTGTTCAAATCACGTCGGGGTCAATCATTCGCTTCTTTAATACAATTCAGGAATCCTTGTTGCTAGACCCTACAACTAGCTCAGCAATTTGATTGATTTTCAGGGCCTCGTGGCGCAACAGATTCAGAGCCTCTAGGGCCTCGTGGTGCAACGGTAGCGCGTCTGACTCCAGATCAGAAGGCTGCGTGTTCAAAATCACGTCGGGGTCAATCATTCTCTTCTTTAATACAATTCAGGAATCCTTGTTGCTAGACCCTACAACTAGCTCAGTAATTTGACTGATTTGCGGGGCCTCGTGGCACAACGGTAGCGCGTCTGACTCCAGATCAGAAGGCTGCGTGTTCAAATCACGTCGGGGTCAATCATTCTCTTCTTTGAGCACAAGTCTTTAATACAATTCAGGAATCCTTGTTGCTAGACCCTACAACTAGCTCAGCAATTTGATTGGTTTTCAGGGCCTCGTGGCGCAACGGTAGCGCGTCTGACTCCAGATCAGAAGGCTGCGTGTTCAAATCACGTCGGGGTCAATCATTCTCTTCTTTGAGCACAACCCAGCAAACAGGGGACGTCCTCCGGACGTTGCGAACGTCTAATTAGGTCCGGATCTGGTCCGGTTCATAACGTTCGCTGGGGGACGTTCGGAGGACGTCCGCATTTGGTCCGGTTTATAACGTTCGCTGGGGGACGTTCGGAGGAAGTCCGCATTTGGTCCGGTTTATAACGTTCGCTGGGGGACTTTCGGAGGACGTCCGCATTTGGTCCGGTTTATAACGTTCGCTGGGGGACGTTCGGAGGAAGTCCGCATTTGGTCCGGTTTATAACGTTCGCTGGGGGACTTTCGGAGGACGTCCGCATTTGGTCCGGTTTATAACGTTCGCTGGGGGACGTTCCGAGGACGTCCGCATTTGGTCCGGTTCATAACGTTCGCTGGGGGACATTCCGAGGACTTTCCGCATTTGGTCCGGTATAACGTTCGCTGGGGGACATTCCGAGGACGTCCGCATTTGGTCCGGTTCATAACGTTCGCCGGGGGACGTTCGGAGTCCGCATTTGGTCCGGTTTATAACGTTCGCTGGGGGACGTTCGGAGGACGTCCGCATTTGGTCCGGTTTATAACGTTCGCTGGGGGACATTTTGAGGACGTGCACTTTGACATTATGGTGCAAAACCATAAGCAAGAAGTGTTGGTGGAAAAATACTGCTTATTAGCATTTTTAGCACATGTTCAAATGAGATATGCTTGAGTGTTCGCAAAAACAATAATAAAAAAATCTGAAAAGTGCCATTGTCCCGGAGTGATAATCCTAGGAACGGGTCATAGCTTTAAAAAATAAGTTTTAGATTCATGCTTTAATAATGATATTTTTATTCAAGTAGGTTATAATTCTAATTTATGTTTGTAAATATATGACTTGATGCGTTTTAACGGGCATGCGCGTGAAGTTGAGTTGCCATGGAAACGGAGGGTCACCAGTGCAGACAGCAAAACTCCGACTCTCCCTGTTTTCACTGCTTTCAGGTGAGTTTAGTCTCTAAAATCACACAAATAATACACACGACTGTTCTTGACACTTCTCTTAATTTTAACTGGCACGCTTCTGTTTAATATTTAACGTTACTTTATAGAAATGGGTTAGTGTCTTCGAAAAAATCAATTAGCATCACTAACCGTTTAGCTACAGAAGAATTAACGTAAGGCTAACGTTATAGCTTGAGCTTTTGTTTATGAATGTTTGGGCTTTTAATCACATTTTATGTGTTGATTAGAGGTTTTGATATTTTTGTAGCCTAAATATTTTGCTTGGAAGTGAGCTAAAAACGTATGTATTTAACATAAAACGTTACGTTTTACGTCACTTACACGGCTGAAACTAGCTAATGGTTCATAAATATTGATAAAAAGAAAAATTATGTGATTTCAGCAGCAACAAGATAACTGTTGGCTATGTGACAAATGGTTTGTTGTGTTCCTAGATCGTTCCATGCTGATGCCCTGCTCAGTAGCAGAGTTGAACTGACCATCATCTGAACCTGGCAACCGGACACGCAAACACACACGCTCTTTTTTGATAATGAAAATAAAATTATTTTGTTTCCTAATATTCCTTGTTGTGTTTGTTCCTTGGGTAGTTAATATGTTAAAAATACTTCTAGTGAACGTTAAAGTTCAATATAGAAGTCTGAAAAGTCCCCGAATGTTTGCTGAACGTCCCGCAAACGTCTCCCGCGACGTCATGTGAACGTCCCCCGCGACGTCCTGTGAACGTCCCGCAAACGTCCCCTGCGACGTCCTGAGAACGTTTAAAGAACCCTACACGAAGACGTTCAGGGGACGTTCGCAGTGGACGTTCAGGGGACGTCCTGGGGACGTGTTTTTGTTAGCTGGGAAGTCTTTAATAAAATTCAGAAATCCTTGTTGCTAGACCCTACAACAAGCTCAGCAATTTGATTGGTTTTCAGGGCCTCGTGGCGCAACAGTAGCGCGTCTGACTCCAGATCAGAAGGCTGCGTGTTCAAATCACGTCGGGGTCAATCATTCTCTTCTTTGAGCACAAGTCTTTAATACAATTCAGGCTGGATAGAAAACCTTCTGTAAAGGCTAGAAAGACCCGAAAGACACCCCCGTGATGGCTAGCTCGTTAGCTTTCTGCTGGAAAAAACGGTAAGAAAATTCAGGGGGTTCAAGCTCAGGGGGTTAAAGACTTGTGCTCAGAAGAGAATGATTGACCCCGACGTGATTTGAACACGCAGCCTTCTGATCTGGAGTCAGACGCGCTACCGTTGCGCCACGAGGCCCTGAAAACCAGTCAAATTGCTGAGCTAGTTGTAGGGTCTAGCAACAAGGATTCCTGAATTGTATTAAGGAAGAGAATGATTCATTATTCTCAAAGGCGTACACATTAGGAGATAACAAAAAGCTGGTTTCTAGATTGTATAGAAGTATACAAACATCTAAGAACCATTCATCAATATACATTAAACAAAAATGGGAGAAAGAGTCTGTCTTACAAATAACAGATGAAGACTGGACAGATATATGTGTGATACAGGCAAATACCACAAACTCAAGATCCTGGAAGGAATTTGGATGGAAGAACTTAGTAAGATTTTTTATAACTCCCAAATTAACAGCACTCCATACGGGTTCTCAGAGCCGGGGCTTTTGCTGGAGGCAATGTGAAACCTCGATGGCTAATCATTATCATATTTTCTGGGCATGCCCAAAAATAAAATTGTTTTGGCAAGAAGCAGTGGCAGAGATTGAGAAAATTATGGGAGTAGAGATGGACTTTTTTATTCACTACTATATATCTAGGTAAAATATCGGGTAATGTTTTAGACAAGGATAAATACTTATTAAAAATATTGTTAGCAAGCTGTAGGAAAGCAATAAATAACCCGTAAATGGTTGCAGGTGGATCCTCCAACTAAGGATCAATGGCTAGGGATTGTAAACGAAATATACAGTATGGAGAGGCTTACATTTACATTAAGGCTCAAATTTGACAAATGTAACACGCTTTGGGAAAAATGGACTATGTATGTAAACCACTGAGTGTGATATTATATATCAAGATGTTGGAATTGTTTTGTGATACTGTCTGATATTGTAAAATCCATGATAACTATTATGTTCTTTGTTCCAATAAAAAAAGTGTAAAAAAAAAAAAAAAAAAAAAAAGAAGAAGAGATTGATTGACCCCGACGAACACGCAACCTTCTGATCTGGAGTCAGACGCGCTACCGTTGCGCCACGAGGCCCCGCAAAGGCAAAACAATACCAAAACAAAACATATCCTAAATACACACCATATATGATCATGAACTCAGGTAACAATTATAATAATACCAACAATGGTAATCAATTACCTACAAGGTAAAATAAAACAAATATAAACACATGGATACATCTAAGAAAATACCAACAATGGTATTCAGAATACCTACAGGGTAATATTAACAAAATACAACGAATACAACAGGAAATTAAACCATTTCCGACATGTATTGCGATAAGACCTTCTGTTTATAATGTACTTTAAATTGATGAATATTTTTGCTTTGTTTCAGTTCCAGCCCCAAACTATTCCAAAGTTTAACTCCACATACAGACACACAAAAACTTCTCCTAGTTGTTCTGACCACAGGCATAACAAAGTTCCCATAACTCCTCGAACTATACGACTTCTCACTATGTGTAAATAACTTTTGTATGTTAGAAGGTAAAAGGTTGTGAAATGCTTTAAATAAAAATTTTGCTATATTAACTTTAACTAGGTCCTGTATTTTTAATAATTTAGATTTAAGAAAAAGTGAATTTGTATGATCAAGATAATCAGCCATGTTTATAATACGTATCGCCCTTTTTTGTAGAATAAATAGTGATTGTATTAAGTTGTTGTAGTTATTTCCCCATACTTCAACACAGTAAGTTAAGTACGGTAAAATTAAGGAACAATACAAGATACGTAGTGCATTCTCATCAAGTACCTGTTTGGCTTTATTTATTATCGCAAGGCTTTTGGAGACTTTGGTTTTTATGTGCCTGATGTGAGTTTTCCAAGTTAGTTTGCTGTCTATTATAACTCCTAAAATTTTTATTTCAGAGACATATTCAATTTGTAACCCGTCTATCTCAATCATCTTATCCATTTTTTCCTTATGATTACCAAATAAAATGGCTTTAGTTTTATCTAAGTTCAAAGACAATTTATTTACAACATTAATAACTTTATCATAATTGTCATCACAATAGAAAATGTTGGTATCATCTGCAAACAAAACTAACTTGAGTAATTTAGAAACATTAAATATATCATTGATGTACAAATTGAATAGTTTGGGGCCCAATACTGACCCTTGGGGGACACCACAAGAAATTAAACGACAATCAGAAGAGGACTCCCCCATTTGCACATATTGCATTCTATCACTTAAAAAGCTTTTTACCCAATTGCCCGCTATCCCTCGTATCCCATACCTTTCCAATTTCTTAAATAATATTGCATGATTAATTGTGTCGAAGGCTTTCTTCAAATCAATGAAAATTCCAATGGTAAATTTTTTATTGTCTAATGCATTTGATAATCCTTCTGTGGCATCAATTATAGCCATAGATGTAGATCTCTTGCTTCTAAATCCATATTGACTTCCATTTATCAGATTATATTTTTCAACAAATTTTTCTAAACGAATATTAAATATCTTTTCTAGAATTTTTGAAAATTGAGGAAGCAATGAAATTGGTCTATAATTGTTAAAAATATGTTTATTTCCATTTTTGAATAGTGGAATAACTTTGGCAATTTTCATCTTCTTGGGAACACAACCATTTTGAAGTGACAGATTACAGATGTGCGTTAAGGGTGCTTTAATGTTATTTATAACTTTTTTTAATAATGCCATATTGACGGAATAACAGTCCATCGAGTAGTTATTTTTCGACTTTTGAACAATATCCATTACTTCTTCATCACTAACTCCCGAAAGAAAAATGGTGTTTGAATTTATCTCAATTTTATCAATATTGTGCTCTATTTGTTCATCTGGGATACTTGATGCGAAGTCACGGCCGATGTTTACGAAAAAATCGTTAAAGCTATTCACTACCCTTTTCTTAGTATGATATTCACCATGTGCATCAACAAAATATTCTGGATAAGTCGTTTTTTTTAAAGCCTTTTTTGATAATGCTATTTAATACATCCCAAGTTCCTTTTATACTAGTTTTATTATCAATCAATAATTTCTTATAATAACATTTCTTGGCTATTCTTAATACCGTCCGTTAACTTATTCTTATACAACTTATATCTATTCTCTGCTTCTTTAGTTTTCAGTTTAATAAATACTTTATAGAGATTATTTTTCTTTTTGCATGCATTTTGTAAACCTTTAGTCATCCAAGGACAATTGAAATATATGTTGCATTTACTGTAAACTGAAACAGGGCAATACTTGTCGTATGAATATGTGAATATTTCTAAAAAGACATTTTAAGCTTTGTCTGTGTCAGTCTCTCCATGAACAGAACTCCAGTCTTGTACTCTCAGATCATCGTTAAATGAATTGATTGCATCTTGAGTTAATAGTCTTTTGTTAAAGATTTCTTTTGTTTTAGAAACATTACAGTCATATATGACAAAAACAGGTAAATGATCCGTAATATCACAAATAAACAACCCGTTAATTATGTTATTTGTCAAGTTGTTAGTAAAGATATTATCAATTAAGGTTGCACTATGTGATGTGATTCTACTTGGTTTAGTTATTGATGGAAATAAAGACATGGAGTACATTCTTTCAATGAATTCATCGGTCAATTTATGTTTATTTGGATTTAAGAGATCAATGTTAAAGTCTCCACAAATAAATAAGGGCTTATTAACTTTTGAAAACATGTTCTCCATTTCTTCATTAAAAGTATCAATACTTGACCCAGGTGATCTATAAACACAACTTATAATGATGTTTTTTTTCTTCTTACCATTATTGATTTCTATTGTTATACATTCCATTAGATTATCACATACAAATGACATATTGGTTAGAAGCGAATATTTTATAGTTTTGTGCACATATAGTGCGACCCCACCTCCCGTTTTATTTTGTCTATTCACGTAATGCAGATCGTAATCATCCATTTCAAAATCAATTCCTTTCTCTTGATTGAACCAAGTTTCAGAAATCGCTATCACACTAAAAGGAAACACAAAACTTTGAAGATATTCACGTATTGCATTAAAGTTAGTATACAAACTTCTGCTATTGAAATGAACAATAGTCAATTTATCCTCAGTGAAGCAATTGTTGTTGTACTTTTCATTTGTATAGTAGTTACAATTATTGTTAATGTATTCAGTATATTCCATTCCACATAAATCCAACTGACGAAGATGTTCAATTCTCTGCAATAAGTCTGTCTCAACGTAATTGTCCTTTTGACCACCAGTATGTGGCTCAGTGCTCATTGTGATAATATAAGTCAGATATTACTGACTTTAAATGAATGTATAAATAAATATAAGAATCAACTGAACAAAGAAATAAAATAATAAATAAATACAATTAAAACGAATACAAATACATTAAAATATAAAAG